GGGAGAGATTAAATGCCTGTCAGAGTGGATGATTAATGGGCCTATCCTAGAGTAGCACAGACTTGCTGGGAACTTCCTGGAAGGCAGCACAGAGGTGAAGGAGAGCCTAGGACCATGTGAGCAGGCGTCATTCCCGAGTTACCAGCCGGAGGGAGGAACAGGACCAGAGGGCAGGGAACAAAGGCAAATGCCACCGGTTGACCAGGACGGAGTCTGAAGTCGCATGGAGCCGGGTGAGGATGGCATGAAGGGTGTAGAGACTGAGAAGTGGTCAGCAACAGGAAGGTGAGTCCGATGGGGCAGTTCAGGAGCCAACTCTGCAATCGCTGTGTTTTTTAACGTGTGCTTTTTATGTGCAACCTAGAAACTTACTGCTCTGGGGGACAGTTCTTAAAGGTGGAAGGGCCTGACTGAGGAGTTGGCTCTGTGCAGTCCTCCCAGACTAACCTTGGAAAGGATGTATGGCTGGCTTTCTCTAAGACCTGGATGTAAGATGTATGAATGAGAGATGATTCTGGGAAGCTTTGAAATAGAAAAGATGTAAGTTCAATGAGTGATCAGATAATTAAAAAAACATTTCCAGTAAATATGAGGAGAGGTTATTTGAGGAGAGGAGGGGGAAAGGGTGGGGTTTAGGGATTGAGGAGAATGGAAAAGATTTGGAATGTTCTCTGAAAGGAACCAGCCAGAGATGAATAGAAATTTTGCCAGGCAGTATTGGAAGATCAGCTGTAATTAAATAGCAGCAGCTGTAATTAAATAGCATACATTCGCATGGAAACCAGTTGGCATCATTAAATGCCTTTTACCAGCCATCCTCAGGCAAAGGGGAGTGGAAATATGGAAAAAGGGCTTTCAGGTTTAGCACAGGCTGGGCTCCAGTAACGAACATGCCCATCAGGTCTAGGGGCTTCAGGGATGAGTTGGACAAGGGGTGTTTTGCTGCTGACATTATACAATTATAATGACCTCAAAGGTGAGAGGATAAGAAGGATAAGAAGGCAAATATTGCCTAAAGGAAGTTGGTAATCTAGGAAAATAGAGGGTTATTAAGTAACTAGCTGCCACCGAGGAAGAAATTAAAGGCTACTGGAGTAAATGGGACAGTTGGAAGGTTAGACTCTAACTTAGAGGATTGTGGTCAGAAGAGAGAATTTCTGAGTTGAAGATTTTAGAAGCAGAGCAAACACATTCCGGACAAAGGTGAGGGCCAGGCTGTGGCCATACTGCTGAGAAACTGAAACAAAGTGGAAGTAAAGCCTGTTGGTGCTGAAGCCAAGAAACTGTATACCAGAGTGAAGCCAGCATGGGTACGGAAAGGAAGACAAACAAGGGTGTTGAAGCTACTGAGGAGATGGAATATGCTCAGAGCAGGTAGAGAAGCTGTTGATCAAAAGACAGCGTGACCAGGTGACTATATTGGGTTCTAGGTACTTGGGGAAAATGTGACATTACTGAACGCGCTGCCTTAGAAGAGGCGGGCAAACCTAGACCACCAATAGGGACAAACAGTGGTCTGGAAGTAGTCTCAAACCTCCAGGGGGGAAGGGATTCTGTACCTTGGGTTGTTGGAGCAGAATGGTCTTCACCTGACAGACTAGGGAGGATGTGTCCTATGGGGTGAAAGTCAGGATCAGCTCATAAAGGAGCAGTTAAGACTCCTTTAGGTTGGTTAAATCCTATTATGACACATTAGTCAAAGGTTACAGTACGTAATAGTGGCTGAAGGCCATGTGTGGCCTGGAGTTGGGGAATTGGAGCTGGGCAGGGGTAAGCCTTTTGAAGGCTGATTTTGAGTTCAGAGTGAGGGATGGCATGTATATATGTATGTATGTATGTATGTATGTATGTTTGTATTTATTTATTAAAATGTGCTTTTATTGATTTCAGAGAGGAAGGAAGAGGGGGAGAGAGAGGGATAAAAACATCAATGATGAGAGAAAATCATTGATCAGCTGCCTCCTGCATGCTCCACACTGGGGTTCGAGCCTGCAATCCAGTCATGTAACCTGACCAGGAATCCAACCATGACCTCCTCATTCATGGGTTGATGCTCAATCATTTAGCCATACCGGCCAGGTGGGACAGTATTTATTAATGACAAAGATGATGGGTGATGGTAATGAAAGGTAGAGGTCACGCTAACAGACATAAGCTGGGAGAAAGTAAATGAAAGTTTTGTTATTAACGGAGTATGTAAAATTAAGCAGCCCCAGGTTTCTAATGAAAACTTTCATGTGTCCAACTGGAATGTTCTCTTGGAATGTTAGTGTGACCAATTGGAGCACTGGCATGACCAATTGGAATGCTATTGGAACTTTAGTGAGACCAATTAGAATGCTATCCGCATCAGCTGGAACCCTGGTGTGACCAATTACAGCCTGGCATAAACTATATAGCTAGAGGGATTTTGGCAATGATGGAAATAGATTGGAATCTTAGCTTTCAAAAGAGATACATTCTGAGTTATTATTGTTTTTAATCCCACCAAGGCAGTAGTTTGAATGCCGTTAGTAGACAAACTGTATACTAGTAAATGTCATCTTAGGATATTCAAGCACACAACAGGTTGTTTTTAACTCTCAGATCCTAGGGCCTTGGTATCTATCTGGTAGATATTTTAAAATGTAGTTGTAGAATAAATGATTAAAATCTAATGGAAGAATATTTTCTGCTCTCAGCACTCCAAAGCAACATTTTATCATCTCATAGAGTTTGATTTGCAGAATTGCTCCTTCTAACCTTGGCATTGGTGTCTGGGAAGCTCATGTACACATTCTAGTTCATTGCTAGCTGTGTATAGAACTTTAACATATGACTCTAATACCAATGATAACTCTGGCTTCAATTTCTTTTCTTACCTGCTTTAGTTTTTATGATTTATTTTTTAACTTGAATTATATATTTGTGCAAACTGCCTGAAGTAATTTTTGGAATAAGCAGGTTGGTGGGAGGATAGAGAGCTAAACCTAGAATTATGAGGTGCTGGATGCAGACAGAATTATGAGGAGGTGGAGGAAGAGAGAGAGGTGAGGAAGAAGGAGGAGGCGGTAGGGGTGAGTGGGAGATATAGGGGAGGATTACATCTAAGTTACTTGACCCAGAAAATGCCATCGTCTTCACTTGACCCAGAAAATGCCATCGTCTTCACCTAGAGAAGAACTTTTACAGCCTTAACACCAGGCGCTAGTGAGTAGTACGTACACAGCAACATGTTGTCTTTTTGAGTGGTATTTCCTGGGCTCAGTAAATATTAGTTGGTTGCCTTTTTTTTTTTTTTTTCAGCATGTGTTTTTTATTTCTTTTAAAATTCTTGAACTTCTTCCTCTGTTTGGAAAACAACGTGGTACAGAAATAAATTCGGAGTCATCAGACCTTGGTTTGAAAATTAACTCTGCTGTTGATTGGCATGTGTCCTTGGCCAAGATAGGTCAATTTTTGGACTCATTTCCTCCATCTGTAAACTTGGGATTATAATATTTACTGCCAAATTCCTGGGAGGATTTATGGAGAGGATGTATGTAAACTACCCAAAAGTGTCTGGCACAGAGGAGACAGTGAATCCAGGCCCAAGGCCCGACCCCAATTACATTGGACACACTTATCAGGCTGTCTCCTTACGACCAAGCGGCCCATCATTCTGGCAGGGCTGTGCTGTTGCCTCTGCTCTGAGGGCCAGCTTCTCGTCTGGCTGACCCAGGAAGAGCGGCCTTCTTGGCCCAGGGCTCAGTGAGCTTGTTTTGCTGATTTGACTTCTAAATACTCACCCCCTCAGATTAGCAGACGGACAATTTGTAGCCTGGCTTTCTGCAGTCCTGAGGGCCTTTTAGCCTAGGGAATCATGTATTCAAGTTCAAATTTGTCTTGTGTGGTTTGGCTTATGATCTGAGGACAGTTCAGAATATGTGAAATCACAGCTGTTGGGTCGAAATGGTGTTGGGATCACCATTCTCTTCCCAGGGTTGGGCTGTGCAAAGCGTTACAGAATGCTCCAACCATGGAGGGATAGTGTGTCTTTACCATCTGCCCATTTCACCGGCTGCTCTCCGACTTGCCATAGTATGTTCTCCTTCTAGGACCTGTGTATTCAGTGTCTGCCATATGCTAGGATTTGGGACCACATGGAACATTGCTTTTTCCAGTGGAGAAATGTGTCGCCACTGGACTTGGGGAAATGCTCCTGTCTTTTGAGGTTTTTCATAATTCCTAGTAATGCTGAGCAGGTGTTTTGCCAGTGACCTTTGTTTTTTGCCTTATTTATGCCTTTAGGTGTATGTACTAACGTCAGTTGTCTACTATTGTTCTACTGATGGCAGGACTCCCCTGGGGGGTCCTTACAATAAGGAAAGAAGTCATCTTACTTACGTCCCACAGTGGCAAATTGTAATTTTGGTGCGGCCCAGGAAAGTTCCTCTCATGTAATCAGAATCTAATAAAATCACCGAGTAAATGCTCATTGAATATCTCCTTTCTGCACCTGCTCCTTCTAGGGTCTTTGCTGTGAGATCTTACAATGAGGAGTGTTAAAGATTGTGCTGAAGAGTGACTGAGCTCAGGGGGTTATAGGAATATTTTAGTTTTGAAAAAATATATTGCCATAAGCTTTTTTGTTTGTTTGTTTTGTTTTATTTTAGTGGAAAAGGACTTGTTGCTTTGCCTAAAAGTAGAGATGAGAAATTTAATACTTCAAGAGAATGCATTCATTTTTTTTTTTTTTGCTTCCCTACTTGGAAATAATAATGTTTTCTCTGGCAAATAAGTTTTTTTTAAAAAGTAGCTCACATGTCTGTGATAGCAGAGTGGGTAGTGGCAAGGGCTGTGCCATCCCCAAACGACTGATCTTCATCTCAGCCCATCCCTACTAGGCTGTGGCTTCTAGGCATCAGTCTTGGCCCTGTGTTGCCCAGCACACAAGTGAGAGATGCCTTATGTGCTTATGGAGTAGAAATGTCCTTGTTGTCGTGGAGGCTTATGATTTTGGGATCTGTCTTTTCTTGCAGGAGCTGCTAAGTCGCACATCTCTGGAGACTCAGAAGCTCGATCTGATAACTGAAGTGTCTGATCTGAAACTCAAGCTGGTTGGCATGGAGAAGGAGCAGAGAGAGCAGGAGGAGAAGCAGAGAAAAGCAGAGGTGAGTGTAACACACCAAATTCCAGGGGGACCCATACTGTCCTAAGCTCGGAGCAGGGGAAGCTGTCCCTCAAGTGGACTCAGTCCATCTCATCAATCCTGGGCCTGGCAGCCACTGGAGCCAGAAACATCTATGCACTAGAGACACAATGATCTATCTGTTAATACCAAGTTATCAGGTTTTGCTGTGGCTGCAAATTTCAGCAATGCCCAAACCACCCAGTTTTGGCTCTAAGGCTTTGTCCTCCCTCCGGCTGCTGACAAGGATGGAAAAGGCGGCAGTAGTTGGGGGAGGATCGGGCAAAATGTAGAGGGACACGGGAAATCTTCAGTGAACACCAGGGTAATGGTACGTGGCTGGGATGGAGTCAGCTGCCTCACAGGCCACAGTCACTATATCCAAGGAGTCTGGTGTGCACTTCACTAACCAGGTGGCACCTTAGACTATGTGCTTCTTTCCTCCTGCTGGGGCCCATAGGCACAGGCCTCTCTTAGAGAATGTTTTCCTTTTTTTTTGTTTTTGTTTTTGTTTTTCCAGGCTCCATATGCCATTGGCTAGAACATACTAGACTCCTTATTTGGATAAACATTTAGAAACTTTTAGAGTTAGAGCTATTGTATTTGAGAGAGATAGCCTGTTTTAACACTAGATAACCATGTCCTGTGTGCCTCTACCTACAAGTCCCTGTGTTCTCATCTGGCAACATGAGATGTGAAAGGGAGATAGGCTCTAGGTTTAGAAACACCTCGGTTCCCTTACTGGCCTAACTGTTAAATAGCCTTAGGAACATTAACCAGTTAGCTACTTAATCTCTCTGAACTCCAGTTTCTTTATCTATAAAATAGATAACTACTTGAAGTCCACACAAAATCACAAAAGTTGAGTCCCTATTATAGTATCTGCCATTTTGTAGATAGTTGGTTTAACTTCATCCCCTCCCTCGATGTAGGATCTCCAAAATCTGAAGGTGGATATTGTTTTGTTTTGTTTTTCTATGAAGTGGCATCATTATAGTGCACTGACATCTGTCACATATCTGTGTTTACTGGGTGAACGCGGGTAACTGAGACACGTCTAACATGTGGGCATATTCCTTGCATTGCTTTTGAGGACATGCTCATTAGTAAGACGTACTGTTGCCAAAAGAAGGTCTCTCCATTTAGCTGAGGACAGTATCTGCTGGTGATCAAGAGTACAGGCTCTGAATCACATCTCCTGGCTGTAATCCAAGCTGAGCCACTCAGGAGCTTTGTGATCTTAGGCAAGTAATTTGACCACCCGAACCTCAGTTTCTTCTGTAAAAAGGAGATAGTAATACATACTTCCTATTTCCTGGGCTGTTCTGAGTAAGGAGTGAGATAATATATGTAGCGTCCTTAGCATAGTGCTGTACAGACAGTAATAGATTTTTTAAAAATCTTTATTGTTGGAAGTATTACAGATGTCCCCTTTGTTTGTTTGTTTGTTTTTTGCCATTGAACTAGCAGTGTAAGAAATACAAACCAGCCAGGTTTTACTGACCATATTGTAAAGTATGCTAGAAAGGAAATATGGACCTACATGCATTGTTATATATGACAAAGGTCACACAGACTGGAAGTTCATCTGTGTGAAGTGTTAGTTGAGTAGACTATGCTTCTTACATATTCACAGAGAAACAGTTAAATGTTCTCCGGGTTCAGGGTTAATTTTACCAATGTTCCAAGATGTGTGGTTACATGTGAACATACGTTAGGGCTCTGGGGGAAGAATTCAATAGATTCTGTGAGAAGGCTCCAGGTGGCAGAGATTCAACTCGAAACCACATACATTTTTTTTTTTTTAAGGCGGAGGGGGTGTTAGGTCACAAAACTTGAAGAGTCCATTGTTTAAAAAACCAACAGCACTAGATCCAGGTGACCTCGCAAGGTCCTTAGAAACCAGCCTTTGTGTATCACTTGGTTCTGTTTTAGCCTTATTCTCAGAAAGGCTGTCCCCATGTGGTGGCAGAGATGGCCATCCACAACTCCATCCTAGGACAGAGATTCTCTTTCTCCAGCAGAAGCTCCAGGATTGTGCCTTATTAGGTCAATTTGGGTCACAGGCCTGGTCCTGAACCGGCCACTGCAGGGAGCATGCAGCCACATTCGGGGGGGTGTACACCTGAGCCCAAAGAGTTACGGTAGTACCAAGTTGGGCAGCTCAGCTCCCTCCTAGGGAGACCGGCAGGAAGGAGAACTCACACTTCTGGGCCAAATACAGCTAACGCAGCCCTTTTACGATTTGCTTTATTTCTTTCTTTTTGGAAGGATTGTTTTTAAATCTGAATTTTTTGTTTTTGTTTTCCATTTGGCTCTTTATTTTTGCGGCAACATAGACCCTGAGCTGCTGGCTGCAGTCCTATCAGATAGCAGCCCTCCCTAGCCTAGAGTGCAAACACCCCCGAAACACGTTTTCTTTTCTTTTTTAAAAATATTTTTATTGATTTTTTTTACAGAGAGGAAGAGAGAGGGATAGAGAGTTAGAAACATCGATGAGAGAGAATCATCGATCAGCTGCCTCTTGCCCATGCCCTCCTGGGGATGTGCTCTCAACCAAGGTACATGCCCTTGACCGGAATCGAACCCGGGACCTTTCAGTCCGCAGGCCAATGCTCTATCCACTGAGCCAAACTGGTTTCGGCCCGAAACACGTTTTCTATTCTTGTGATTCAACATCACCTTTGCTGCCATGCCCAGGACCTCCACAGTCTGCATCTGCCGGAGACTTAAAAGGGCAGGGGTGCAGCTCCCGTTGCACTGCTGTCCTGGGCCTGGGGCTGTTTATTTTGAACGAGGCGTCCAGCTAGCTGAGGTTACCAGAGGTTGTAGTTTCATGAGTAAACGGAACGCTGCTTTCCATTGGGCACACTGCTGTTTTTTCCAGTGTTTAGCCTAAGGCCTGATTGCTTGTGGTTTGGAACAGGCAGGAACTTTTTTTTTTGTTTTTTGAAGTAGCCAGATTGTAATAAACTCCTTCCATTTTATGTTTCCATGGAAAAAAAAGGAAGAAAAAAGGGCGGGGTGTTATTGACAAGAGCATTGCAGACTGTCCTTTCTGTCTGTTCTGATCTCACTCTAAGCCAGCCTCCTGCTGCCTGTAGTTGTGGAAGCCATTCCGAATGGTGGGCTGAGGACTGTGAGAGGCAGGTTTCTGGTCAAACAGGGAGAGTCCTGACCGGCAGCCTTGCTCAGGAGTGAGTCAGTGGCCTCAATGAAATAGGGGCGATTACTCGCTTTCCTGTATTTGCTTTACTTTTTTCTTATCAGCCTTGCGCTGATGGCTCTGGGCCATTTCAGGGAATCTAAGTTTGGATCAGTTAGATTTACTCCTGAAAGGTGGGTTGCAGGAAGGGTGGCTGACCTGGAAACTAAAAATCAGAATTAAGAGGATGGAACATGAAAGAGAGAGATTTGGAGGCAAAGGAAACCCTGGTGGTTCACCATGTCAGAGTCATGCCCTTCAGGGGGATCTTCCTTGAGAAGGAGGTGAGCATCCCTGAGCATGGGGTGTGGACACGCCTGCCGCTGGGCTCCTGGGTGGGACCCAACGGCTTTGTGAGGAACACCAAGGCAGCCTGTACAGAGGGAGCAGGGACCCAGCCGGGCTGGGGTGTGAAGTCAGCCCTGATGATCAGGGATGTGCACAAGCATGAGGAGAACCAGAAAGAATTTTAGGATTTCCTGGCAGAAGATGGAATGTCATACAGCAAGCAGGTCAAACTCAAAGGCTAACACAGGCCAAATGAATGAGGCATGCAGCCAGCAGACCACAAGTTTGACATACTTGTTTTACAGCCCAGGTGGTGGGGTCATGCCTTCTCTCTCCCTATGGTAAGGCCTTTGGAAGGGCGGGATTCTGTTTTCTGAATTGAGCAACTAGAATAATGGACTTGAAGTATGGAGCAAGGGCTGGGAAAATAGTGTTTTCTCAAAGAGCTGGCCTGGTGAGGGGAGTTTTATTCTTGTTTTTATCCTCTTTTGTTTTATTTACTTATTTTCATTAACATAGAACATATTCTCCAATAATTTAAAATTCAAACGTTCAAAAAGGTGAATATAGCAAAAAGTCTCCTTCCATGTGCTCCCCAGCCAGCCATGTATCCGTTTGTTTTTAAAGCTTCCAGAGTTATTTTATGCATGAACAAGCACATTTATTTGGAGATCTATCTATAAATATATGCACATATACATTTTTGCTACATTAAAAAAACCTCCTCATTTATATTTATATCAGCATATTATTCTACTATCTGCTTATGCCCTAATTTATTTAAATATTTTTTGAAAGTTGATTTGAGAGAGAGAGAGAGAGAGAGAGAGAGAGAGAAAGAGAGAGAGAGAAAAAGAGAGAAAGAGAGAGAGAGAGAGAGAGAGAGAGAGAGAGAGAGAGAGAGAGAGAGAGAGAGAGAGATTCCTCCTGTACACATCCCGACCAGAGTAAAGCCACAACCTGGGCATATGTCCTCACCAGGAATCGAACCAGCGGCCCCTTGGTGCATGGGACAATGCTCAATCAACTGAGCCACACTGGCCAGGGACCTAATTTATCCACCCAGTTCTCTTTTGATGGACATTTAAGTTATTGCTAAGTATTGGCTATTATAAAAATGCTCATACATGTGTGAGGAGGATATAGAAGTGGAACTGGGTCCAAGGGTACTCGCAATTTTGAAATTTTGACAGGTATTTCCAATCACCCCATAGACCATAGTGGTTATATTTTTACCTGTGACGTAGAAGAGTGCCAAGAAAGTAGTAAACTGAGCATGAAGGAAAAGAGAGAAAAAGTCAAGTTGTGAACAAGTTTAACAGGAAAGCTGGTGTGGGAGAGACTCTGATTATGGGAGGTGCCCAATAGTTTCACATATAAAATGAACCATTAAAAAGAACTTTGATGGTTGGCAAAGCAGGAGTAAATGAGCAGAGATTACAACACAGAACAGCAGTTAGAACCTCATAAATGTCACCTGCACATCATGA